CCCCAAAACCCCAAAACCCCAAAACCCCAAAACCCCTGAGACTTATGGCATTGTTGAAAATTATTTTAGCAAAAGTTAATGTCTATGTCATAAAATATTAAAATTTAACGAATGTGATTATTAGTCCCAGCTACTTATTCTCTTAGTGTAAATATCAGATCTTAGTGTGAGAGGATTTATCTAAATAATTTGTTTATTATGTAGTCATTTAGAGACCTTTCGATTCTTTACAGTAGGTTATTGAATTTTTGTAATCAACACATTATCCGATGGGGTTACTCCAAAGCATTTACTAATTCGAGGTCTTTTCTTTGATTCACAGAGGACAATTGATTGAAGATGTAGACGAGTCAGCTTTGAGTAAGTCACCCAAAACACAGTACTCTTGGCTTCCTTCCTATTGTTTTGCTCAATCATCAACAGCAAATGAGATGAAAAAATTCAGCAATGTTCTCCTTCCTACCTAATGATCACTGGATTAGTATACTCACGGGCTGAACTAGCAGTTCTATAACTTTCATTTACTTCTTGTGAGCTTTGTAGAAATACATTGATGAGTTTAGAGTGGATGAGAGAAGCCGTTGAGAAGAGTCATAGACAATGCAGCATTGCATTTAATCAAGAAAAGTAAGTGAGCAGCCCAGATCCTTGGTTTCTTCGCCGTCTAGCTTCCACTATACTACCAGATCTTATTACCAGTTGAGGTTACCTTTGTTATTCCAAAAGGGAAATCTTCTCAATAGAAATTGAGAGAAACCATCAACTTTGGTTAGTTACGAAGGATGAAAATGGTGGTTGGGCTCTGAAGGAATTCAAAACGCAAAAGAGAAGGAAATTATGACTTAGGTTGATAGAAAGGCTTCAGAGCAATCTAAACATCTCTTCAAAAGGTCAGACTGATAAAAATCCTAGAATCTAAAAAATGAAGAACAGCAAAGACCCATAAAACACCAAGGTCTAATGAGAGGGAGGTTGCTAGATTTCACAGCCACAATTGATCCTTATTAGTGATTCTTCTATTAATATCAACAGTCAATTATCAAGGTTATTTTAGGGGTTTTGGGGTTTTGGGGTTTTGGGG